CTGAAAAATCCCCATTAATTTTTGCTAGTGCTAGACACTTGTGGCGTTCAAAGAGCTTAACATGAGCCCCCCCGTACTTGACGCCTTGGCAAACAGAGACCAGGTATCCTATATACTGCGCCAGATCACGAATTTTGCATTGAGACTTAGACCGGAGAGTTTTACTCCAAGTCTTTATTTTTTCCCTCTTTTCTGCAGGTAAAGAAATTTTCAATAGTTCTGAGTCTAATAAAAACCCCAGAAATCTAATGGTTTGACTGGGGTTCAAATGACTTTTCTTAACGTTTATAGAAAACCCTAAGGACTTCAAAAAATTTACGGTTACCTTAGTGTCATGTAAGGAGCCTTCATACGAAGAATTGAATAACAGAAAGTCATCCAGATAACACACACAAATAATGTTTTTAGATCGAAGCCATTGTGTAACAGGTCTCATTAGTTTTGTGAACACATAAGGGGCTGAAGCCAACCCAAAAGGCAAACATGCAAATTCATACAGATCGTGATTAAATTGAAACCTCAAGAACTTTCTAAATTTTGGGTCAATGGCTATATGGAAGTAGGCATCTTTAATATCAATAGTTGTGAACCAACACCCTTTTTTGACAAGCCTTAAGGCCGTTCGAATGTCTTCCATTTTAAAATGAGATGTTTGTAAAAAGGAATTAAGATGTTTTAAATTAAGTATGAATCGTTTACCGCCATCAGATTTATCAGCCAAAAAGATATTAGAAATAAAATGCCCTGGACAAGGACTGCACTTGCTTATCGCATTTAAATTGAGTAAAGACTTAATTGCCTCATGCATAGCAGTGTCTTTAGTCGTCCAGGTCTTTGTTGGGGGTACTTGCTCTAGACTAGGTGAACTACAAAATGGCAAGGCATAGCCTTTAATCCATTTCAGTATTACGGGATTTGAAGTAATCAAACACCATTTGTCATAGAAAAGTGAGAGCCTACCACCAATTGGGCTTACCTGCTCTATCGTCTGTATTTCCCCTGCTTCTGATGGGACTGCTGGCCTCGGAATGATCTCGACTGTCCCTTTTGACGAGTCGGGCCGTAACGGTTTAAAGAACGCTGGTCTTTCGCTGATGTGAACACAGGCTTCAAACGAATTCGCCCAGAGTTCCTACCACCTCTGTATGAAGCTGAGAATTGCAAAGGAGTAGCCGCCTTTAATTCCTTTCCTGCGTTCTGTAGAGACTTAGCTTCCCTGACGCTCTCTGAAACATCTGATCCAAAAAGGAAATCTCCTGGTTTAGTTCTCCCTAGAACCTCCCTAATGTTTTTGTTAAGGGTTGGTAAAATCAAATTACGCCTAGAGTCAGAGATGTCGTGAAAGGTGTGCGCCAGTAAACGACTAGCATCACCCAAAGGGGCTACAATTTCATCACGTAACTTTTTTGGAATAGGATTGTCATTCAGCAAAGCTGTCAAAGACTTTCCCATAGCTCCCAAAACCGTTGCGAGTTTCGTTTGGATACTTTTATTAAAATTGTCCCGAGCCACCCGATCGTTGGCCAAAATTGCTAAAACTTCGGGATTTAGCTTAGGTGAGTTAAGTGTCGGACAGTTCTCCGGGACTGCATAACGTTGAGTTAAGGAAAGTAAATTTTCCTGCGAAAGGCCATTTGTTACAATGTAGTTCCACCTTGAGGAAAGTGCCTCATGTAAACAGTCCGCCTTAACTGGAGTACTAGGGCAATCATTTCCTAAAACGTCTCCAAAATCATCAAGGGCTAAAGAGCCGTCGTCGATGATGAGTACATTTTCTTCCAATTCGGTCTCAGGGCCGTTAGTCGAGTTCAAAGGAGCTCTAGGCTTTGGTCTACCATCCGCTCCGTGTAGGTCCTCAGCCTCACAGTGAGGAGAAAGACTTAAAGAAGTCTGGGATTTGTCACCTGCCCTTAAAGAAGGAGCAGGCGAAAGGCTTAACGAAGCCTCAGCAGACAAAGAACGTCTTCGTCTAAGATGCCTACTTGTTGATGGAACATCAGCAATGCTTAAGCTTTCAACGCTGCTGTAACTGCAATCAGAGCAGTCGCGTTTAGACCGGGAATCCGATCTTCTATTAATAGCACGAAAAGGAGGCCGAGACTGCCTGTCATGGCCGCCGTCCACATTTTCCTTATCCTCTAAAAGTCTCTCAAGCCTACGAAGGCGTTTTCGTAGGTCGCTTTTTGACGTCCCCCTGCTCCTAGAGCGATGCCGCTTGTTGGACTTGCCCATGTGTAGTAAAAAATTACATACGGGCGAAAAAGGCCTATGGTCGACAACGCCAAAAACATGCACAAGCCTAAAAAAAATACCTATGGTTAATAAAAACCGCTAAAATAAAATCATTTAGTTATACTCAGATACCAAAATCGTCGAAAAACGCAAGACAACGATGTGAATGTGAACACGAGCACGAGAAAGCGAAGAATGAATCACCTGACGCCTGGCGCGAGGAACGAAACGCAAGGTTAACTCAGTGGCGGCTCGGCGGCAGGGTCGAACTTCTATTTTTGTTTCCTTTTTGTGAAACCTTTCTTTAAATACTCGTGATATGAGTTCGAGCAAGCGAACTACATGGTATTCTATACAATGTCTTCGGATTGGATGTCGAAATATAAAATTGATTTAAAAAGAATGAAGGTGGTTCTCGGATAGCCAAACTGTAGTATAGGCGACCAACATTGGTACCTAAGGTACCGTGATCTTTTTGATCTGACAAAGGAAATTGCAAAAATATCTGCTGCTACCAAAAAATGAATTTAGCTTTGTTGCTTTGAGAAAGGGATCTACCAGAGGTAGTGCGCTGTGTTAGTTACCTACACTGCAATTTTGCAAATCCATTCATTCTGCAAAAGACTGTACATACTTCATGGCATGGATCTTCCCGTTTTGGCAACACCAAAAGCGGATAATCAGGAGCGAGCAATCTTTCACACAAAGCGCATATTCCACAAAAGGTTTTGAACTGTACATCGCTCTCGTCTTCCCATTCGACTAAATTACGAAACTTGGCACCTTGCTCGACGCTCATGTTTTTCGACATAACTTCATTGAGAGCGGGCAGCAAATTCTAAACAGGCAAACTCTTTAACCTGCGTCTCCGCTATGTCATAATTACCTTCCCTAAAATAACTCTTCGTTGCTCATTTTCCAAATCATTCTCGTTCATAAACTTCTTGAATATATGATTGTACAGTTGCTTTCTCGAATTCGACACGATTACGTAATCCGTTACGTATTGCAGTGGCGTCATGGCTAAAGTGAGACTAATTAACTAGCAAATCTTTGCTAAAATCAATTTACCACCCAACGCACGACTATCCATGGGCAATTCGAATCGTGCACTTGTCCTACTGAACATTCGTGGTATGCCCAGGAACGCGTCTTTGTCGGTAAAGTTCGTTTGGAGCTCGTCTTTCAGCTCCTTCAGCTCATTGGACATTGTCTTTTTGAGTGACTGTGCTTTTAACGCCTCCTCCAATGCTTTCCGTCTCTAAAAGACAGTTTCGACTGCAGTTTACCTTGTGAGTCAAAACACGGTCTTTCTATTTGCTCTCGATGGTTGAAAGCGTCAATATTAGCTTTGGTTTGGATACAAATTTGTTCACGGGATAAATCCCCGTATGCTTAAATCCCAAAAAAATCGACTCCTATGGTTACACAATGCAAGAAAACTCAAAATATTTAATATAATAATCATTTATCGAGTCAAAATGTTCTCCAGTCGGCAGCACTAGGGATGACCCTTTTATAACTTAGGGTATGCAGCAAACAAAAGCACGAATTAATTGTCTTTAACCTTTTTACCGGTAGCCGTTTTATTTATAATGTTATTAGCACCTCGTCTAAACAAATTAGGTGCACAAATTTGATTAATTAACCGGTTTTTTAACCGTAACTAGACTCCAAAAATAGCGCAATAAAACGTTCTGTAATTTAACCACCGCGCCTTCGTAGTAACTATTTATTTTTATGCAAAAGTTACTCCAATGATATAATGAAACGAAAATATTTGCGTACGTCTTCAAAAGTATCACTTCGCACCATATTTAATCTCGGAAATGGGAATAGGACAAGGAAAAGCTGCAGCTTGGAAACGTCGAAGACGGAACCAGAAAGTGAAAACTGAATTTGGATAACTTACTGGAAACGTGTAACTCGATTGGAAGCAAGAATCAAAACTGGAAATTCAAAATTTCGAACTGGAATTAGAAAATGGAAACTGTAAACCGGAAAACCGAACTGACAATCCTACAAGATCTTACTTAGGCTCACAAAACAAATGCACGGTAACCTTACCTTAATGTTAAACTCATTCCCAATGACCTCCTCATCCAGCTCCCTTCTCAACAGCTTTAAAATATCATGGTCCAAAAACGAGTTGATGTCCAAAGAACTAGGGCGCGTCGTGCTTCTAGCCGTGATAACTGGAACTTCTAGGGTAATCCCGTTTTCCGCGAGAGACGCATCGTTGGGAACGAGGGAAGGACGCGCGCTAGGATTATGGGATTCGGGCCCGATCGTCGCGACCAACGTTTCGGGATCGATCGAGGACTGAAAGGCGGGCGGTCCTCTGGACGCGTCTCGGCTTCGTCTCCTTCTCTTTTTCCCTCTCCTCCTGATTATACTCTCCTCGTCTTCGTCGCCCTCGCACTCGCTATTGTCGTCGTCGTCATCGCCCTCTGCAACTTTCAGGTATGTCTGTGGACGATAACGCATCAGTATAGCATTTAAAAAGTGTACCTTTTCGGGTTTGGTGTCGTTGCTGTTAGCCGCCGCTTTGACTGGGGAAGCTGGTTTGCTGCGTCGTCCGGGTCGCTTTCGGGGCGTCTCCGGAGTATCGGTCGAGCGGTACGTGGCACCTGAAGACTTCCGCTCCTCTGGCATCAGTGCGACGGTTATGGACGGTATTTCGTGGTGCAGTCCCGCGCACCACGATAGAGTCTCCTGGCTGTGGCTCCTTCTTAGATCTAAGATCAGTTGCGTCTTCTCTCTAACATCAGTATTTAACATTGGATCGGGAGTGACGCACCTCCGCGACCCCGAAGCTCGAGTATGCGCGCTAACGAGTGTAGGGGCAGGAGTTAACGGTCTTGAGTCGGTCTCTGTATAGCTGAACCACACTTCAGTTGTATGCTCCTCTAGTAATGGTACTCACCGCCTGAATAACTCCTCCGGTACGCTACCGATGGGAAGATCACTTGTGATTTTCACATGCAGTTGGCCCAAAGATGCCCGTATGGCTTCCACTTCGTCTGATAAAAGCAAATTTTTCCCTTCGTTTGCCTACGAATGAAAAATCAAACTACAATTCACAACATTCCTTCGTAGTCAATCACCCAGGTGTCCTTAGCCCTTCGAAGCAACTCCCTCGCCTCAGAGTCAGCCGGGTGGTTGCACAGAAGGGAGCATCCGTATGGAAACGGATTATAAAGGCCCGCAAACGGTTTCAGGACATACGGAGCAGATGTTGCTACCACTTTTAGGCTGACGCTATTGTCCTAGCATGATCTCTATAATTCAGTTTGCTACGGATTTTTAATTACCTGCGTCCGAATTAATTTTTTTGTTGTACTTGCCAGAAGACCAGTTTTGCTTGTTACCACCATTTTGGTCGCAGCTAGTATTGATATAATAGGTCCATAGCAACCGGTGGCAGATGCTCTTAGAGGGGTTTCTAGCAATACGTTTGAAATAAATCGTAGGTATCCATGGTGTGATGAAACTCAAATGGGGTTTAGAAATATTCAGACCAGCATGATACGAAGAAAAAAAAATTTATCATGAGCACATAAAACAAGAGGTGTCTATCCGGAAATTATTTCTACTCACTCCTTGCGTTTCTGTGATCCTGACAAGTTTTAAATAAGAAATTTCCGCCAGGAAAATATCTCTCGGCTTCATTTGTTTCTACAGTATCTTATCAGTAAAACGTAACACACTGTAGATATCTACAAACAAATATTTTAGGTATATTTATCTACCGCTTCATGCGTTTCTGCGATCCTGATGAGACAATTTTTATAAAATAAAAATATTTCAAGAGAACAATGGTTTTTTCCCGTAAAGAATTTTAGTCGAAATTTTTTTGCCCCATTAACTTTCTTATTATTAAAGATAATTAATTTTGGCAATTATATGTTCCTTAGAGAATGTGGCCTGTAGAATCCATAATTTCAAACAGTTCCAAGATTGGGCTACTAGTTCAAAAGTTACAGCCCTTTGAATTTTCTTTCGAAACTGGTTTCTAGTCTATAACTTTTGATTGAGAAGTCCGATCGAAAAAGTATGAATTGTTTTGGATTCTACGCACCAAAATTAATAAGAAAGGGTTTTCCCGAGAAATTTTGGTGTTGTCGAATTTTGGTAAAAAAGGAAGGTTATACAAGAGCAACAAACGGATGAACGGGCAGAAAGTCCAAATGATCAAATTTTAATCAGTTAGTCCCTTGACTATTACTGAAAATTTCGAATAGGGAAATTCGAAACCGTTCACGAGTTATCATGACACGAGCTAATGGACAAAATCATGAACGAGCTGGGTCGGTTGTTAATAATTGGAATTGGGGGGAACGTTGGAAGGACTCTTGGTGCATGAATCAAGTTTAGGATGTGTGTCGATTTTGAATTAAATATCTAACATTTCACCACAGGAGTTACATAATTTTGGCCCCCTCATTAATGAAAACGCTCCTACGTGATTCCTAAAAAATTCAATTAACTTACATTTATCGATCAGTTGGTAGCTGATGTTCTCCTTTGGAAAGGTAGCAGCGAGTGGGGAAAATTGGATGGTTTAACGCCTTTATTTGGTTACTCGTTGAACAACGGCACAACCTTCATCTTCCTCACAGGTTATTAGTTCCAATTTAGTATATTTATGGGGAAAAAATTACTAATGCTCCCGCAGTATGGAAATGTCCACAAATTACTCTTATAACTTAGGGTTAGCAGCAACCGCAAGCACAAATTAATTGTCTTTAACCTTTTTATCGGTTGCCATTTTATTTATAATGTTAGTAACACCTTGTATAAACAAATTAGGTGCACACCTTGATTAATAAATGGGTTTGCTACGTAACTTTCCACAACACATCTGCGCAACGGAATGTTTTGCACGTTCGCCTGGTGTTATCAAGTCAAGGAGGTTATTTGATAATGGAAGTGGTGTTCGTTTAAATACGGGACGTTTCCCCACCCTCTTTCAAACCATGGTTCATGCCATAAATCTGCAGTATCAAAAATCTGAATACAAAAAAAGGGTACTCTCACTGACAGTCAAGTAGCCACTTGTATTTGTATGTCTGAGTTAGTCTGGAAGTGCTTCTGCAACCTGAAGCAGCTGACAATTAAAAACCATGTTATTTTATAGTGGATTTGAGGACATTTGGGTATGGCCAACAACATACACATTATGATACCAACTTCTACTTCAATTAAATATTTAACATGAGTGAAACTAACAAAAAACCACATACCAAACATGCACAGAGGAGAATATTAAAATCCCAAAACACAGGAAACCACAAAACTGTTTTTATTTATCCTAATGAAGGGGTTCATTAGTATACACTTATAATACATATAGCCCAGACTTGCAATCGTTAATATTATAAAACAAACAAAACATTTTTTGGTCAAAAGTAATCTACATAAGAATAAATCTGAGAACATTTTCAGCATTGACATACACTTAATATTTTCTAATACTTCTCATGGGTTTATACTCAAATCGTCCTCGAGTATAATTCTCCATACTAGGAGGAGCAGGACAGGCTGGCTCGCCACGTGGGACACTTCCGGAGTTCCATCTAAACATAAATGTAAGGTGTCACTGGCGGAATAATGGTCAACTCGAAACTAATTAACTACTGCAAAAGTTTTTAACAAATTTCTAGCCAATTGAAATATTCGGCAATTTTACTGCGAATATGGCCCAATTTGTGTAATGTCAATACATACCGATCGCCATTATTAGAAACATCGGGTCTCCAAGAGTCTTTACTACTCCAAGTTTTAAAGGGCATGCTGTTGGTGCTAAATTGTTTACTGGGTGTTGGATTGGGGTGCCCCCAACCGCTACCGCTGCTGTTACGCTCGCGTTCTGTCAAAAGAACGTTGTTAACGACATTCCAAGGTCAAGCTCACTTATTTACCTTTCACTGCCTCATAGGAACGCTCGTGGGTTGGTCGTACTTCGCTTTTGTGTTCAGGAATGGAGCGGCGATAGTGGGGGCTGCGATCCCGTTCACGCTCGACATACCGCGAATCCTTGGCGATCCTGTAGTATGTTTGTTTAGTAATTATGCACAACTAGTTCATATTAAGAAGTCAGTATTCAACCTGACCGCATGCACTTTAATACTGGGTTTTGCAATACTGCAACATATCCCCTCAGACACTGATTCTGAGCAAGATGGCAAAAATTTAAAAAATAATCAAAAACGCATGGACGCTAGCGATTTACTGTTCCCTACTGCACTCATAGCCACTCTTACCAATCAGTTGAGATGAATAATTACAACCCCTAAGTAACCCAAACATGCTTTAAATTTAAACCAAGCTACATTGAAGTACAAGACACATGTGTCCACTGTAATTGAAGAGACTCAATGTTACCAATAGTGAGGCATGCGGGTGGGAAACAACCGATTCAATAAACAATGAATTTTAAAAAAATAACGGGAAGCACGTAGAGCCACCAAGAAGCATGTGTTAGCCTCAGCACAGCAAACAAAGTAAATACCTTGGGGCTGCTATAGCAGATGCACCCGTACGCGCATCCCTTTCATGACTAATATTGAAAACGGAACTTCCTTCATACTTTGTTATGCTGGTAGGAGCTTCCCTGGACAGTGCAGACTGAGAATGCTTCGATTCGTAATCCCGATCGCTTTTTGAATACGAGTCGCGTTTATCGTACACTCTCGAAGATTTGTAGTCCTTTGAAGGGGGTGTAAATTTTTTGGAAGACACCGCCTGCACTTTGACGCTAAAAAAAAATACAGAGAAATAAGCTTGCTTTCACCGGCCGAAAACAAACCTTGGCGACTGATAGCGCATTCCCGACGGCTCGTCGTAGCGTTTGCTGGTGGTACTGGCACGTTTTCGATCTTCGTACGAGCCTTCGCGACGGAACGGTGCGGGACGTTTAACCGGGCGCAGCTCTTCCTCTTGCAATCGCATCTTGACCCTTTGCAGCTGTAACTTTTCCAACTCCAACTTCTCCCGCTCCACCTTCTGGCGTTCGCGTTCAAGTCGAATAATTTCCGCCTTCTCTCTTTCCAACTTCTCCCTTTCGAATCTTAGCTTCTCTCTCTCGCGATCCAAGCGCGCCGCCTCGGAGCGCTGGATTCTGTCAACGTCACGTTGGCGGGCGGCTTCCTCACGACGACGTCTACTTTCCTCCCTCAACATGCGTTCGCGTTCTCTGAAACGCTGCCGCTCACGTTCTTCCTAAGTAACATTTTCATCCCATGAGTTAAGGAAAGACATATGAACTACATTATATTTATATTGTACAGGGTGGTCCAAATTAACTTTTATGAGAAAAATGGATCTGGGTGTATCACCCTAAACTACATTTTTTCATACAGATCACCATACAATATTTTCAAGTTTTTGAAAAGAGCGTAAAATTTCTTAAGCGTGTTCTGTACCCACTGCACCCAATGTAAATTTCCATAAGAGCGCCCGCCGTTGTTTAAAAAAAAATTTTTTTTTAAAGGACTTATAAATTTAAACCTTTATCTACAAAATTATTATTATTATTAAATGTTCAGACTATTTTTAAAAAAAGTTTATAGCAACATATTATATTATACCGATTGTTTAAGGCGGCTCTGCAGTGAATGTTGAACTATCCGCAAAACAGCGAATCATTTCTTTAAGATTTTGAGTTTATAATCGAATTAAAAAAAAGGGGCGACGTCAAATATTGTGGGTATTAACCAACAGAATGATTGTGCGTAAACCGATTTTGGAAGTTTGGAAGTTTACCATAATTTTGGAAATAACTAGTACAATTGATAAAGCTTGTCTTTAAGATAACGACGCCAGACATGGGTTTTGGCGATTTACAACCAGCTAACAAAATTGTATGATTGTACATAGATATATCTTTTTCATCCCTTAAATTAAGAACAAAAATTGGGGAAAATGTTTCGATGACATCATGAAGTATTTCACCAATTGAAAGCACAGTTAGGCAACTTAAATTACACCATATACCCGCTGGCGAAATTGTCATTAACTGGCAATTGTGAATTAATCCTATTCATTGGTCTAACAATAGTTTTAGAGATTAGGCTATTCATTGTTATCTGCAATTGAATTCACCTTCTTGGGCTTTGTCCGGCGTCATTAACACCTTCCTATAATTAGCTAATAATGTAATTTAATGTATTTCTGTACTGGTTTCATTGACTAGAAGTTTGTAATGGTAAGATTCTTGTGGATACCTACATCCGTAATTACTCCAAGTATTACAGGCTGTGTCACGCAAACCAATACCTAAAAGTATTCAGGCTTTCATTGATCAATTAAATCTGACCATGTGCACACCAACATAGTTTTTCTTGACCTTTCGAAAGAATGATCATTTCACTTCTCATTCTATCGCATGTCGATAGCAACTTCTTATTTTAAATAGAACGCCCTGTATTTTCGAAATCTACATGAAAATCTACGCCGTTTGATACTAATTTCCCTACACCCAGCATCAAAGGTTTTCAAGTTATTCAAGATTTTGAACATTTTTGATGTTTGGCTGTTATCCTTTTGAGTCCTGTGTATCTATGACTCAGTTGACTTCAATTTCAAAAAGTATTTCAAAATCGGCAGTACTCACTTGATGCTGCGTGACAATGATTTAAATTTTGTTTGCCCTTCTACAGGGTGTTTTAAAACTAATGGTCAATTTTATTTAACTTCAAACCTTAAAAAGTTGATTTTTCAAACGAAACATGATTTTTTTTGCACTTTCAAATGTCAAAAAAATTCTACATCGATCTAGTATAACATTCCCTATACATATCATTCTGTTATGCTTTCCATTTTGTTATAGACTTTCTAAAATTGTAACCGTTATGCATAATTTTCTTAGGAGGCCTTGAAATAAATGCGCTAGTAGTTGTTATTTTACCAGCCTTTGAGAATTTACATAAAGAAAACAACTGGTTTCAACATGACGGAGCGCGGGCTCATTCTATCCATGATGCTTATATATCTTTGACGAACATTTTTGAAGACAGGAGCCAGAGGACTATGGCGTTGGCCTCCTAGAACTTCAGATATAACGCCATTGGGGTTTTTTGTGTGGGGTCATATAAAGACAACATTTAGTTCACACCAGTTGCTTTTCATGAAGAACTGGAAGTTAGGCTGAGAAGAGCTTTTAATGAAATGGATGTAGTAGACATTAGAGAGACGGCTACCACAGGAATTAATCGGAAGATCCTATTATGTATTGAAAAAAACGGTGGCCACGTAAAACAAAACCTCAATTGATGTTGGTTTTTTTTATATTGTCGTTTGTTATTATTACCTGTTTCTGTTTATTATGTCTTCATTATTTAACTTTTTATTCATCTACCATCACTATCAACTATAACTATAAAAAGGTCTGACAAGCCTTCTAACGTTATTTCAAAGCTTTCTAAGAAAATTATGCATAAGGGTCACAATTTTAGAAAATCTCAAATAAAACGGAAAGCATAACAGATAGGAAAATGGAAAGTAATACTAGATTGATGTAGAATTTTTTTCAACATTTGAAAGTGCAAAAAAATAAAGCATGTATCATGCATGACGTGTTAATAGTTGACCATTAGTTTTAAAACACCCTGTAAAAGGGCGATCAAAATTTAAATCATTGTTGCATAGAATCAAGTCAGTACTGTCAATTTTTGAAATTTGAAAAATCTTGAATTACTGGAAAACCTTTGATGCTGGGTATAGGGAAATGTGGTATCAAACGACGTAGATTTTCATGTAGATTTCGAAAATGTAATAAAATACAGGGTGTTCTATTTAAAATAAGAAAGTTGCTATAGACATCCAGTGGAAAAATCATGATATTTTCTTTTGATAGATCAATAAAAACTATGTTGGCAAGTAAATTTTCAGATTTAAATGATTAATGAAAGCCTGAATACTTCTAGGTAACGGAAATGGTATTTGTCTATGACTAATGTAGTCATTTCAAAATAAATCCAGCTTAACAAATTACAAAAGAAAGAAAAGATAAGGGGTATTTCAATTCAATTCAAAGCTGTAAAGGCTTCTTGAAATGGAATTTTTTTTTTCAACAAGGTTAGTCGTCTTTTTGATTCCCTTATTAAAGAAAGCAGGATTAAATTAAATTAGAATGTAATATAAAAAATCCATCAAGTATACATCCGTATAAGGTGGCGGATTATGGTTAATTTTGGCTTCCAGATTAACAAGAACTTTTTTAATATTGGACAACTGTCATTCTGCAGAAATGTCTTGGTTTTTTCCGATCCCTAACTCCTCTAAAACATGAGTGATAATTGTAGAGCGAATGTCTCGAAATGGTTTATTTTATACCAAAAAATCAATTTACAAATTCTTGCTCTAATCCTATCTAACGACGAAGAAGATGATCCTGATGGGACCTACAGTAAATTTAAGTCCCATCAGCATCATCAGGATATATCCAACAATATTGTATATTTTTTTAAAAGCAAAAAGCATTAGTTTTGTATTATTGAATGTTAAGAAAAAAATTAATAATTTTTGTTCCTGTTGAGCCACTTTCCCGAAAATCAGAGCGTCCGTCCTTAATGGCCAAAGTACCCGTATAGCAAATTTTAACACGATCTGCCACTTTAAAAAAAGAGTTATAGCACGGACGGACGACAATACAAAACTATAAAGGATCTGAGGCTAGATCTGAGGATGCTTAATAATAGTAGGTAATAGTAAATTCAAGAACATGCTGATTAAACTGACAGAAAAGTAGGTAAGTACTTACTTACTGTACACATGTATACGTATGCTCGAGCGGTACTTTATCTGTCTGCCAGATTGTTATAACCGATGAAAATGTATGCCATGATAAATGTAAGCTAGAAATACTGTTAAGAATAACATATTTAAATTTCAGATTTACTGAAATATTTTTAAAATTAATTTTTTTTTCAATTTTGAGAAGCGTTTGTTTTTGTTTTGCTTTATTAGACCTGTTACTACTCCGTTGATAATATGCCGAGAACTTTATAGTTTTCTGTTTCCTTTTAACCAAACTGTAAATGTTGCATATTTTAGGCAGTTCTGATATGATATAGGTACAGCTTGCCCAATTTGCATCGATTGGTAAAATATCACAATTCTATTAAAGAAAACACACTGGATGAATTGAAGAAAAATGTACTGGAAAAGACATCATGTGTGGAGTAGAATAGTAGTTTTCTTAACTTCACACTCACTATTTCCCCTACATTTAAAACATATTATAACGGTCTACCCCTAATCAATAAAATAAACACAAACACAAAAACACGAAACGAAAAGTTGCATTCCCTTGAGACTCCCTGAGCCCTATCCTCCCAGAGAGGCTCTATGTATCTATAATAATGAAAGCAAAAATCGCCATCTCTAGATGCTCTTTCATTGCAAGAACCAGATACAATTAATTTGTAGATAAGTTGGAAAACTGGGGAAATTTCCTTTTTTTTCCATTCTCATGGTAAACAGCTTACCTTAATTTTGTCAAATGTCAAAATTTCACGGTTTGGACGTGATCTGCTACGACTTGGCCCCCGCTCGTTTCGCGCGCCACGACTGCGATCGCGAGATTTCTGAAAAACACAGGTATGAGGTATGAGCGTTACTTGTGCTGCAATCACTTACCCGCTTGGTGTCTCGTTTAGCCTCACCACTGTCGCCATCTTTATCCTCCTTCTTATCCTTTTCTTTATCCAAATCCTTCTTTTTATCTTCTTCTTTATGATCTTTTGATTTGGATCGGTGCGATGCATCCTTGTCCTTCTCATTTGTAGATTCTTCGGTTTTCATCTTTTTCGCATCGAGCTTTGCCATGTTCATATGGTCGGGTCGCACCTACAACGAAAACGATTACCCGGTTGCGGACAATCGGCCGGTCGGCTACCTTTTCGATGCGAATGATTTTCCCATTCAGCTCGGTATTGTTGAGTTTGGCAATGCAGTTGTCCGCATCTTCGATGGTGTCCATAGTCACGTAACCGTAGCAGCACGCTCCGGGGTATTTAGCGTTAATGACGACCTTCGCACCGATGACCTTCCCGTGGGCGGATAGCACCTGTTTCAATTCCGTCGCCTTTGTCGTTTGCGTTATATTCGTAATCCACAAATTCCGGTTTTGTCTGTGGGTCCTTGATGATGAGCTTGAGGACGATTTGCTATAAAATAAATGTAATTAAAAAACATAGTTACGTTCGTTAGTTGATAATGTATTTGACAAAATGGAACGACTTTTCTTAAGAATAAGTGCAAACACCTTCGTTACTTTAATACAAAAACACTTCTTCTACTTCTAATACGCCCTTAGTGGGGAAACTCCCTCTGGTGTAGTCCTCTATGGAACTGGATCTGTCGGGTGCATCTTCTGTAATGGCGCTCCTTATTCAGCCATCTTGAAATTCCTTTGTGTGTGAATTCCTGATGTAACAATCATCTTCTTTTGTTTTTGATACTTCGGTTGCAGACCCTTCAGTTTTACTTGATCTTCTACCTTCAGGATGCTGAGGCATCATTGGGAACCGGACGGTGAAACGTCATCAGGTATCAGACAGTCAAACATCACTGAGAGGTGGTTGCTGTGAAGAGTGGTGGTCTATAACTTGCCTACTTAGAAAATGTAATCGTATTAAAGTGAAAATGTTGCACCTTTCTTAAACCGCGCCTAATAAAGGTAACACCAACTGAATAAGCGTGCATAAACTCGTTGTGATCAATCCGGACAGGACCAAATAATAGTAAAATTGGTTTGCTTAGCAGTTACCTTCGATACCATAATCTTAGCAAATAAAATTAATGTAATTTTTCAAACTCATCAAAAAAGCTGCGGAATTCCGCGTTACGTTGCTGCCTTGCTTTTCTTCTTGGGAGTCTTGAAATTTGACAATACCCGGACGACGTCATCTAGCGGAACCGGAGGTTCAACTCAGTCTGATTGCAGGAATGTGACGGTCTTCTTAACCTTTGGAAGGATCCTTATAAACGACACCATTCAGGCAGTTTTAAAGTAGCAGCATCTTTTCTGATGAGTTACGGACTTTAAACCTCCCGAAAGATGATTGTTGCATATGGGAAACACCAACCTAACTCCGGCCGAAGAGGAATTTCCTTCGTGCGTTTTAGCTTCAGTCTTCTCGGCGATATCCTCATGCTCCTTAGTGGTATCCGCGTTCGTGCTTGTATTCTTGGCATCTATGTAACAAATCCACGTATGTGAAATGAGGTTAACTTGATGGCTCCATACTAAGAACCTTTTGTGTCAATGGTAGTTTTGATAAACTTTGCAAATTAAACCTAATAAATTGTTTCACCACATACAATGCGACTACAGAGTAGATCCATATGAATATTTCACATTCCTTGAGAAACGTATTTTTTACGTTAAGATAAACACGAACGTGTACAGTAAGAACCCCAACAATCACCTGTTGATGAAGGGCGCGACATTTCTGAAAAGCCATTCTCTGACGAAACTTTCTTCACTATCCCGCGGCGCCGTAGAGATGGTGCGTTGGTGGTGGTTTCCATTTTTAAAGCTGTCACTTTCCGTCCATCTGTCCATTGGTTCACATATTTTAGGCAACATATCAACTGCGGACCGCTTTTTACCACCTGCACGTTAGTAAGGGAGATATGGCATTGGGGCAGAAAATGACCCCTCTACTTTTTTGACGGAAATACGCGTCTTCAAACACCAGGAATCGGAATCAAACAAAATTTCTATGATGTTGGTCTGTTTGGCAGTCTAGAGATTTTGGATTAAATATATAGTATAAGATCCCAGAGTGAAATACATTTTTTAGCAATCTTGATACGTAAACAAACACATTGCAAATGGGTTGCCTAAAAAAGTAAGTCAAGACTATCGTTAAAATTAATGCAATTCAGAGTGCGCTCTATAACAGTAGGTAGAGTTGGCACTGCTTTTGTTTCACACCCGCTGGTTAAACACCCGACTAGCTCAGGGTTAGGAAATAAAACAGAAACGTGAGAATCTCCGCAGTGGTAGTTCGTTCTGGGCATATATAGTACTTTGGGTACGTAAAAAAAACTGCACTTTTCATTGGAATATGCCACTTTCTGTGGTAATAGTTAATACCAAAAGGCAACTTTTGAGATAGGGAGCCACTCGAAAATCCGTGCAGGAAACCAAAATGGTGGTCGTCAAAATGACGCCATTAGCCGCAATATATTTTTTTGTATCTCTGCTCCTAATAGTCCGATTTTAATTTTCTTTTTTTTTTATTGAAAGCTCTTGTGACGAGGAACTTTTTTGCTATATAACCTTTATCTCTAAAACTGAAGGATTTAGCACAATTTTAAAAGTGTTTTTTTACGAATTTGAATCAGAAGTAAGCTCAACCCGATTTTTATGTGTAACATATGTAAGGATTTGTATTATTCAGCACAATATTCTGACTCTTAAGGTCTGATGATGAATCGGTTCGAAGTCGATTAGCTAAAGAAATATTAAAATTCAATTATTTGAAAAACGAGTTTTATTGTATCAACAAATAATTCACTACGTCAAAAAAATAGTGGTTGCTATTTAAAAACAGTATGCCCCCTTTGACCGTGCAGAAGTATGCTACTGACCCCAAATTTAATAATAATAATCATTGATTGTCCAACAGAATATTTTCCAATAACAGGACAATGTACTTGTGTACTAAATAAATCTAGTGTACATATATGAAAATAAAAGTGTACTGTAAATATTCAAAAAAGAGAACTTAGAATTAAACTCAATAGAGATTCACAAAGAATAAGTTAAACGGATATAATTACTAATTATCAAATTATACAAAAAAAAAGAACAAAAAAATTATCAGAACAAGTGAGCAAGTGAAAATATTACAAAAAATGACACAAAAAAAAGCGCAAAAAGAGAAAAATACTTTAGTGTGAAATGTGCCTTAATATTGTCGGTAAGCTACTAAAATGTATATCACACTTCCGGCATACTGAATTAAACTTTCGACAAATTGAAATGATAGGTGAACTAAACAGGATCTCAGTTCGAGGAATAGGGTAATGAAATGTATTTGTGTGTCGATTGGCACCATGAGGTATTTTTAAATGATACATAGTTTAGGAGTTCGGGACAATCAATATGATTATGAATCAGGTTAAACAGGTTTAAAAATTTTCTCTCTATGGCCTCCAATGCAGATTTATGTGTATTGTAAGTGGGATGATAAATTAGCAAACAGTACTCGAATTTGGACCGAACTAAGCTACAGTAAAGGAACCGAAGAGCTGACTGATCTGATATTTGCTTACAGTTGCGCATCAGGAATCCCAAAGTTCGATTAGCTGATCGACACACTTCTTTTATATGCTCATTAAATGTGAATTTGCTATCAAATGTTACTCCCAGATCTTTTATTGATGACGTACAGAGTAGATTGACACCACTGACAGAGTAATTGAACAGGATTGGGCTCATTTTACGCGTGTAGATATTATTTTACACTTAGAGATGTTCAGTGTTAATGAATTAGCATTGCACCAGTTACTTAAGCTATTTAAGTTATTCTGCAGTTGTAAACATTCTTCGCTAGTCGAATGTACGTGGATTGGTAGCAAACTTTTTATAATTATGGATGTCATAAAAAGCTTCTTTAAAAAATGTTTTGAAGATAAAATTTTCACCCTGTATAAAAAGCATATCCGGAAAACGGTTACCCTCGCGGTTAGTATTATGAAAAAAAACCGATAAGACCTACAAAAATAATTCTTTTGTTAAGGGATATCGAGAGAACACCCTATGTACCTAAAAATACGTTTTAGGCTTCCCCTCAGGCTTCTCGTCTCAACAAACCATTACCATTAATCTTAACCATTGAGGTTCTATCGTCCGCTTACAGAAGGTGGATTCTGTATAAAAAAATTATTCAACTATATGAATAGGTATCTAAAACTTGAAAGTCATAATATTCCGTTAATATTCTTAAAGAAAACCCGAGAGAAAATCCATGATCTGATAAATAAGCACTCCAAATTTCACATTCGTCGTAGCTTAAACCAACTAGTTAAATAAAATAAGTAAGAGCGAGAGTACGAGTTAAAGTTGATATACTGAGTCTGTAATTACTTTAAAAGTAGTGTATTTTCTGTTTTTCAGAGAAAAAAATGGACGAGGCTTTTCTTTCAATTTTCATAATGCTTGATCTCGTGCCTGATGAAACAAATATTGCGCATTTTTTAAAAAAAAACAAACATGGCGGATTGAAATTTTCCGAACTTGCAGGGTAGATACAAAAAGTTTTGGGGTTGTATCGATTTAATTTCTAAACGATGGCCTTTTTTGTCGAAAAGACCGGGATAGAGCTTACTTGTGATTCAAATTCGTAAAAAAAAAACACTTTTTTAAAATTGTGCTAAATCCTTAAGCTTTTAAGTTTTAGAGATAAATGTTATATATAGCAAAAAAGTTTCCTCGTCACAAGAGCTTTCAATCAAAAAAAAGAAAATCAAAATCGGACTATTAGGAGCAGAGATATTGCGGCTAATGGCGCCATTTTGACGGTCACCATTTTGGTTTCCTGCACGGATTTTCGAGTGGCTCCCTATCTCAAAAGTTGCCTTTTGGTATTAATTATTACCACAGAAAGTGGCATATTCCAATCAAAAAGTGCAGTATTTTCCCCATTCTAGCCATGTACCCGACGTACTAATAATCTTCGGTCCTTCGTTACCATTTACCAATAGTCACTCAATTTCTATTAATAGAGCCTTTTCACACGGACCATTTTGTGGCGGTGCGTTTCGAAGAAACAATAATATGGAGCTGAAACGTGATACACACGGTTGTATTTATTCCAGAGACACATCGTTCATGTTACAAAACGATTTCTTCGGCTTTCTAAAGAAACAAAAAAGTGTCTCATTGTCTTGTTCCGCAACATTGGAAACAGTCCTTTTTCAAGTCGTTCAATAGGTGTACCCAAAAAACTTCTTTGTTGTCGTAGACGTCGGCGTCTCTGAATCGCCAACAAAAGAAACAATTATACACTTCAACTATTCATTGTGAACTGAAGGCACCTGACCTGTTGGTTGGTGACTTGCATGTGACGTGTAATTTGCAAACAAAACATAACCCGCGCCACAGAGGGATCCGTGTGAAAAAGCCCTTAGAGCACCTTCTCACGAGGCAAAGTAGGGCGCCGTTGGTACCGAAATATTATTCTATATGAACGCCTTTACACGGAGTGGCGCTCATGCGCGTCTGCGCGATTTGTAACCGATTTCCGCCACACAAACGCGCGCGACCTATTCACACGGCGCGACTCAAAACCGCCACCACGCAAAGAAAGAAGGTGTTTGAGTGGAAAGCGCAAGTACCAAGGGAGGCCGCCGTTCTTTTAAAAAATGGCGTCAAGTTTCAGGAGAGCGTCCATATCGATGTACTGAAAGTGACCTCTCTTCCGTTTCGCGGATGTCACCCGCCGGCGCCCAGCGAAAAACGCCACTTGGTAGCGCTGCTGAGCGAGTTAGCAGTTGTGCCCACGACACAGTAGCGCTGCAAAGACGAACCACACAATCGCGTACCCTACTACTCCGCCGCGCCGCTCTGCAGCGCTTCAAAAACGCCTCGGGAGAAGGAGCTCTCAACTCTCCCCATATGAAACTGAGAAGATACGAGCGTAATAATAACAATCAATCAATTTACCTAAAGAAATGCTGGTTTACTCGAAATAATATCAATTGAAATTGTTTCCAAAATTGAATACCATTAATTACACAAGTTAAAACGTCCCATATAACTCACAATTCCCAAGATCAATATTTACTTATTTATTGTCGCTCTTGTTCAATGTTTCAACAATCAAAGAAAAACCTCCCAAACCAAAAAGCTCGGTATATAAATAGTTGATTAATGCCTGAAGGGCCTCGCTCTACTCGTAATCTGCGGCTATACCGCGTATGATACTTAATTGACCACCCCCTCCAGTAGGAAGTGGTGGTCTCCAACAACCTTCGACATTCTAAATTTCAAACTGAATATGTGTAGACACTTTTTTCATTAACCAATGGGGTTGCAATAAATGACCATTGCCTGATTTAAGTGATCTGGTGGTGCATAGTTAACGCCTTCTAAACCAAGAATTAAAACGGGCGAAAAAGTGCATCAGGAATTTTTTGTACACAACTTCATGTACGTTAATTCAGATTTTAAACATTTATCCACTAGACATTGTAGTTTTTAAGTTATTTGCGAAGTATTAAAAACGACTGATCTTGCGCATTCTTGGAACTCCGCAACTGATCTTACACTACACACTTCTGGAAGATTTACGCACAACACTGCACCTCAAAACCTTAACATAAAAAATGCGACTCTCAAGTACATAAAATTTTTTGGAAGATTAAGCTTTATTATAAGTGAAGCATTCAAGTGGATTTCTAGCTCTGCATAGGTACCTTTTACCTGATGAAACATTGAAATAGTTTAATGTTGTCATCATGATGTGAGTTTTCGTGATATCCTTCAACGGCCAATAACTTGATTGATTTTTAAGATAAAATTCCAGTTGCTTCCACACACAGAAAAGTAGACCAAAATTTTCGCGCCGTACAAAAAATTCCAAAATCGTAAACACTGATCACATTTTTAAAACAAAAAAATATATACATCCACAACGATTTAGGTATTCCTCTATGCGTCAGTACAATAAATAATAATCACAAATTAAACGTACCTTCCTTGCGTGGTTTATCGGACTCCGTGTCAGTTTTACCCGTACTATCGACCTACAACAGTACAAACAGTAATAATAGCAAACGACCGCTCTGTGGTCAAACCTCCTCCTCGTCCTGAAAATTTTCTTCTTGCTCATCTAATGTTAATTGAATAAGATTGTCCGACTCGGCAGGAGCTTCCTCGTTGGAATCCGGCATCTTTTTCTCACCCTCTTTCTTCGGCGAATTCTCTTTCTTCTCCTTGGTCTCCTCCTTTTCCTGATCCTTTGTATTGTTAACCTGTGAATAGTTACGTCTATCACTACATGTAAATTAAGCTACATTACTAAGAGGCTGTTTGTAAAGAAGTTCGATTGAAAAGTGATAGATCAAATAAAGTAGCAGGAATTTTTTCAGTTTCAAAACAGCATTTTGTTAAACATCAAAATAAGCAGCTTTGCCAAATTTAAACTACCTATCTATCTCTCACAGTTTACAAGATCCCCATGGTGGCCCTCGAATTTGAATCAGCCTGTATAGCGGATATCATTTACTATTATCAGAAGTCGCTAGTAACTTCATTACCTATTTTAAATAGCCAGTAGCCACCCCTGTTTTTTATTGCATTTTTGGATTCTACATAAAATTTCAGTTCTGTTGATACCCACATCTACAACTTTATGGTTTTTAAATTATTCATTAAATTGATACCATTTTTTTTCAGTAGTCTTTTTTTTCTCAGAAACGTTTAACTAAAGCTCCCAAAAAAACACCCTGTATTGTACAGATGTGATAAAAATAATGATAATACTAATAATAATAGTCACACTTCAAGATGCAGATACATAAAATCTTTGTCCTCATTCGTGCTATCAGCAAAAAATGTATCGCCCTACGTTCACCTACAAACCTAATGAATCAAACACGATATGAAGAATCACATACGATTTTCAATAGTGGTATTTTTTGATACTCAACTCGTATTTGAAAACACGACTTTTAATTCGGCTCATATTCACACCACTGATCCTTGAACTCATAGAAATCAATTGGCGAAGGTTTTTGTTCCAGAATTAGAGAAGGAGCAGATGGGACAGATGCAGACAAGACCATGACATAAGGAGAATTTTTTCGAAAAATAAATAAAGGACAAGCCAACGCGCAAACTTAACCATACTTTGATTTAACCTTGCACGTTCTTTCGTAAAACGTAATCATAAGAATCACGATCGCGAAGTAGCCGAAAGAAAGCGCCTATTGTATAGCCATTGTACCCCTTCCCAAATCCTTCACTTAACGATTTAAAAAAACCAATCCTATCTAGAATTCATCCAACCAGACACAGAACTTTCCCTACACAATTGTAATAATTACCTTGACGTTATCTGGTCCGTTTTCTTCGGTCTTATCCTTCGCAACCTCTGAATCGGCTGCAAACACAAGAGATTACTAACCGTTCTTACTACAGTATTTTGTGAATTTCGCAACTTGACTCACCTGATGTGGTCGACGGACGTTTCGTCAACTTTTTCTCTACTTGAAATTCGAACACCGCTGGATCTTCTCCGGCATCTTGCAGAGCCTAAACGCAATTTGATTTTAATCTCGAATACCGCCACAAAATCTCTTACCTTCTGCAAACGTTCCACTAACACTTGCTTAAGTCCGGTCTTATCGAGATCCCGTTTCTCTAGCTCGCTGCGTAAATCGACCACCCCGAGCTCGGAAAGTTTACGTTTTTCCACGTTGCTCGACATCGTCTAACACAATTTATTTATTCGAGCACCTTCGCAATTATTTATCACATTAATGAACTCTCGTTCTATTACTAATTGCAATGTACAAAGTAAGAACGTAGAAAACGATGATCACAAGATCGTTAGGCAGACATATGTACTTTTTTGCCAACAACGACGCCGGTTTGAGTCACTACTACCAACTGAAATGTGTATCATTGATGCCAACCTACATTGAAAATCATGTATACAGTATGTTCCATCTGAAACTGACACAATTGTTAACCGTTTACTATTTGCAAACTTACTAAAACTACAAACGAGAAGGTAGTAAAAACCACCGATTCCTGGCCTAGCCTGTAGGCCCGTCCCTAAGGCGACTTTGATTCCTGATTTTCAATTGTTAAAAAGTTCTCCTTTTGAAATCAAGAAGTAAAAGAAGGGTGTACATATAATTAAGGCAAAATGATCAGAAAAATTTCAATAATAATGCAATATTTCCGGACCAGCAAGCGATCTCATTTTTAACGAGCTCCTAATTTTGCTATGTCTGTCCATCTGCCCGTTAGCACAGTTCTCGAAAACTAATGGACCAATTACAATGAAATTTTGCAAGTGGATTCTTTATCAAATTAATTGTAGATCAAAGTTCGTTAATTGGTGGAATGGTGGTGGTGGATGATGGTGGTGCAAGATGAATTATTTTGTCCAAAGAACTGCTATACAGTGCATATTTTTCAGAGCAAATATGGCGTTCTATTTACAAGACAGTTAATTTTTAATGTGCTGTATAAAGAAAATGAAAGATTTATTTGTTCCGATAGTAATCTGTCTTGAATAATAACTTCATCCCTTCTAGGGATGCCACCTGCACGGTAGAGCAGCCTTGGCTGAACCCCGCCCACTCAAAAATATAATAAAAAAATTTGTATATGCTAAATTGACATTTTAATAGGATTCAATGAGTATAGTATCGGCAAAGGTAGATAAAGTGAAACAAATCTTTGTGAACTGCAATGACAACAGTCATTCTTATTAAAAATGAAACGCGGCGTACGAAGTAAAATGAAGTTCAGGACATATACAATATTATTTCTACGGAAACGACGGGAAGCCTAAGCTTGCTATTTTGGACATCTAAATAAAATACCTACAGAACTTTCAAAGATTTATAATGAATGCTTCCGCTATGAAATACAGTTTTGTATTATACAAGACGATAAAGGGAAATGAAAAGGTGGCACCCCTACACCCTTCATCCGATTTTCACATACTGAATGAAAGACTGTTTACCTGTTTATTTACAAAGCAAGAACAGTACAAGCGATGTTTGCTACGAATTACTAAATGTGGCACTTGTCGGTCGATAAAATACGTCTGCACTACAAAATGGTGATTATCAATAAATAGATTGCAATTTGGTTGTATTGAATCGACCGACAAGACATTATCTCTAGACTATATTAAGTGGAAAGAACTTGAGATTCAGGATAGTTAACACTTTTATGAGTCAGTCACTACAAAGAACTGTTATATTTACAAGTGTCAAGAGTTAATTGAAAAATAACGATTTATTTCTCGAGAAAAAAAAACGCAAAATATACATAAACCTTTAACAGAAAATAAATAATTTAAAATTCTACACAACTTACTACATATTTTTATTTATTTCATTTATAATCGTCGATATACACAGACATTCACACTAGACTTAAAAAAACGATAGTAAAATTAAAAATTATAAAATACGATCACAAGCTTCAGTATTTTAAATACTAAATATAAAACAAACGATGTAAACTAAAAATCTTTCGACAGCCTACGAACTTTGCACAAGAAATATTTGGGCACATATGTCGAATACCATAAAAATTGATTGTATCCTCGTTATTTTCTATTAATCTTTAACTAAACATAAGCGGTATCAACAATATTGGTTACCACATCGGTAAACAATTCAACTATTGGACATAACAACTTCACTTAAAAATATATTTCATTCAATGTGATGATGATTATCGTGAAAAAAGTAAATACAACTGAAACTGTACATGCATTTTAAATGTTTTTACAGTTTTTGGATCGGATCGAAATTTACATAAAACTTATCATAACTGAATTGGTTTATTTAAAATTGTATATAATTTCTTTTCATTTCGTATTTATTTTGTACAAAAAGAAACCGCCGTCTGTATTTAGAGAAAATCAAATTTTATACAATTTTAATTCAGTATCATGTACTTAACTAGTGTTATTTTATTATCGTAGGTTTATTTCTATGCTATGTTATGTATTTTACTTGTATAGCGCTACATTAAAACAAATCAAACGAATGTAGCAAACGGGAGGAATACGTAGATATGTTGCGCATTCTCCAAATTGAAAATTTAAAAAAATTATTTTCAGTTTGACAAACTAAATTAATAGTCCAGGAAATGAAGGGTTTGCCTTGGCACTTTTTCAAAATATATCGATTAACTTGAAATTTTGACAGTAGGTAGGGAATAGCCTAAAGATCAAAATCTATATCATGCCAAAGGGTGCTATCACCCTAGGGTTTTTTTTATTGTAATTTTAACACAGGAATTAATTCTAAGCTAAAAGTGTGAGAACAAAATGGTAGCTTTTAAAAAAACAACGAAAATGGTTTTTTAATAATTGCTGTATGACCAATGCGAATCGAGCTGTGGCTTGTTAAAGGTTAGCTCCTGTTCGTAAAACGCTAAATTAGAGAGTGTCAAATAATGGCAAAACTATGCGAGAAAAACTTGTAGTTGAACATGTTTTCATGCAAATCGATGCATTTTGCAAAAATTGCCAGGTTTTATACCATTTTTAGTTTCGTTTTCTGGACTATAATTCAACCATAATTGGATTAATTCATTTTCAATATTGTACTATAAAATGTTTTTAAAACGAAACCTATTTAGTATTGCTTAATTGTTTAAAATGAAAGAGCGTATAAAAAAACTCCTCTTTAAAATACTCAACGAGTTGCAACAAAACAATATATAATAAAAAAACAAAATATAAATACGAAAACTACAATATTAACATTACTTATCGTTACATTTTTGTATTACACATTAAATACCAATCTGCATTTCAATTTTTAAATCTACACCGGCGCACGCGATTCATTCTCCGAAAAAAATGCGTATCAAAAAAATTTTCATTTTTTCTTCCGTTCTCTTACAAACTGTAAACTTGAAAATCCAAAATACAGGCCAGTAAAATGGTCAATATCACACAAACTGATTTTTGCGGGCTCTCGCGCGGAAAATTCTTCGTCGAAAAATTGGTTGTCCGAACAGTCAATAAGTGTGATTTATCACTATTAACACTATCACGACTCTATAGACTAAAGGTTAGAGAACTAAAGATGGCTGCAATTTTTTTTAACAATTCTTTTTAGACTAGTTGTAATAGCAGTCTCTTCTTAAAGGTTCAGATCCTGCAAAATAAAGAAAGAGAATATTTTTGAATGGGATCAGGTTCTTTCTTCACATAAGAATATTGCAAGTTCAATTGTTTTATGCAGTGCGCAGCATAGAAAGTAGATATATAAAAAACAATCGAAGAGCTAAACGTCAAAAAAGTTTTTTCTTAACAACAATTACACATACCTAACTGGGTATAAGTAACAGATTTACCTAAGTTTTTTCAAAAAGAGATTCTGATTTTGAAGAAATTTGGCAACTTGCCAACCTGCCAACTTACAGGACAAAGTAGTACTTCTTACCAACTCCATTCTGGAGTCATTTGAACAGGCATGTTCTCAAGAGGACTAAAAAGACTCCTTATCACCACCATCCCTGGAGGTGCAGGGTTTCTTAAGACACTTGAAAGACTGTGCGAACGTGCATAAGGGATAGGGTGCTAACACGGTTTCCGCTGCACCCTAAACAGTCCACACTAGGATTAAGTACTTATAAATGTAGAAAGAAACGAAGCTAGTTGTTTTCACAAAAAAAGAGAGATAGACGGTCTTCGAACTATTCCAAGATCTAGTGGTAGATTATGTAACTAGTTAGCGTTTTTAAGAAAGCAAATAAGACTTTCTGGCAAAGTCGCCGTGCAATTGGGAGACTTTGGGGACCATTCCTGAAGGCTGCCTCATGGCCGTGCACACTGCCGTGATAAGACCTATGTTGTGGTATTGACCAATCGTCTGGTGGGCTAGAAACAGACTCTCCACAACCGTAGCACTTCTTAATCATATGCCAACTCCCACAGTCGTCATAGATCTGCCTCCATTAGATCTCCATGTGAAAAAGCAGGCAGCTCTGGCATCCTTGCATCTGAAAAATAAGGGGTTATTGAATCGCAGAGGTGGGCCCGTCTCATATTCTGCGCGAGGCGATTAAACGATTGCCCATCCTAGAAGGGCGATCAGATTCACTTACTACTTAATTCATATTAGGGAAAAACTATCACATCTTTCTTTCCCAACCAGACATATTCATCTTCACGAATGGATCTAAAAGAATGAAAGCAACAGGCATGACCAAATTATTTGAATTATTAGAGGATTAGAGATTGTTTAACGGCCGCCTGCGTGCGGGGTATTATGTCAAAACAAGTTTTGCAGGTGTTTCTTTTTTGCAGGGATTTTGTTTAATTGTTAAACTTTTCATATCGCTAATGCATATGTTTCTTCAAGACATTCCAATCGCCCTTTATGAGTATTATAGTTGATCACGGTAAGGGGTTGACAAGCAAGACTATGGTTGGTAAAAATTAATGCCTTTCGTTGAGACCATTCATTAAGGTAGATACCCTATGAAACCCGTTCCTCCTTTCCGATTGCGATAAAGGGTGGTAGGTGGTACAAAACAGTTCCTTTCAATGAGACCTTTCTCTTAGAATACCATGTTATGCACATTTTACCTTCAGAAACATAGAAAACTTGTAATTTGGTTTACGCTTCTGGAAGTTGTTCCGGAATTTGTTTTTTAAAATACAATGATACCATTTTTTATTTTTTCTAAATGCGCTATTTTATTCTGAATTCAAAGAAATTCAAATTTAAGTACCTATCTGTCATGGTTTTTGACATATGTCACATTTTCTCTACAAATTTAAAGATGTAAGGCTCCATTCAAAAATTCATATCTCTTAAACCGGTCAAGATAAGTGACCGCTCTTTTTTTTAATCGAATCTTTAAAGTCGAAAGCTCTGAAACAGTTTCTAGGGCTGTTGCGTTTTTCAAACTTAGCAATCAAAAAATGTCATTTTTTCAAATGGCAACTATTGTTTAGCTGTTTTTGAATTATTGGCATTTTTTAAAAGAAATATTCTTATTTTTCATTAGGTATAGTAGGCTTTAGAAGTTTTTGACATTTTTGATTGCTAACTTTAAAAAATCGCAACAGCTCTGGACACTTTTTCAAGACTTTCGGCGGTCACTAAAAAAATTCCTTCCACTTTAAGGATTCGATTATAAAAAAGAGCCCTTGCATCTTCGAAAAATGTCAAAAATTGACTTGTCAAAAACATGACAAATATGTACTTAAACCTTCATTACGTTTAATTCAGAATAAAATGGCGCATTTAGAAAAAAACAGAAAATAGTGTTTTTATTTTTTAAAAACCAAGATGGCGCCACTTCCGGTATTTAAGGAAGCGGCGCCATCTTGAAATTATTTTATTTCAATTACCAATGGTCGGTTATGACTGTAAACCAAATTTCAACTGCAAGTTTTAAAAACTTCTAACGAACGGGCAATGTGAATCACAGATGTCAAGATAGTTTGTAACTGCAATGCGCACTTTAGTGGGTAACAAGACTCGTTCAACCAACCGTAAACGGCGGTTCGCGCCCTCTATCTTTCGCCACTTCGCAGAGGTAAAGTTAAATTGGCGGACCAAATGGAGTATGAGCTGTAAAAAAAACACTTTTTTATCTTTTCCGCCGTTTTAAATCGCAATATAACTAATCGATGGCGCCAAACCGAGGTCTACTATAAAGTCACTAGATATAGAAAATACCGCAATCATCCGCCATTTTTGGGCAAATTTGCTGCCAACTTAAAAAAATTGACAAAATCTGAATAGCTGTCATTTTTTATAACCTAACTTCATAGTACTGTCATGTTTTATAAAAATCGCATTGAACTATATACTCTCAGTATATAGTTCAATGAAAAATATATACAGATATCTCCAAACAGGTGCAACAAGCCCTAACATTAAAGTTACTAGAATCTGGTAATTTCCGCCATTTTTGGGCAAAAATCATGCGTTCTCTCACTAACACACGAGCCCAATGGATTGAGGTACTTTATATATTTAGTGACTTTAGTCTACTACAGCTCTAGAAGAATCCATACCGTCGACATCTGGCGACAAACGAAAAATAGAACGGTCAAACGTATCCCCGCGGGGGTTTGTGATGTGGTAAACATGGAATCATTTCATTCGGGAGCGGGATTTTTGGGCGAGGTGCGGCGGCTAACACCGCGCTTATGTTTCTATCCGAGAGCGGAACGTTTGAGCGAGGTGAGGCAGCATAGCCCCCATTCTATCCGGGAGGGGGGCATTGACTGACAAACGAAGTTCGCCGGGTCGCTAATGTTAGTAGCGCTTACGACGGCCGCACGCTAAATCTTCAAAAGAAAATGTATGGGCCACGATCTGCCAAAAGATCTCATGTAAATTTCGTGTGTCGCTATGACTTTTAAAGCCCCACGCAAGTCTCTGCCTGTAGTCCTTGATCTAACCTTCACCATAAAACGGATATGGACCGTGAAATAAAATCGGTAAATTAGGTTGTAGGGATATTTAAAAATAGAGTTGCACGCAATAGATAAACAAGTTGCGTCGCAAAAGTACTAACCTGCTCTACCGTAACGAGTCGGTGCCATTTGGCTCAGTGGAATTAGAAGCGGGACTTGGTTGAGAGCTAGAAGAAGCGCGCGCGTTATTCCCATGTGAATTTTCGTACTCCATAACTTCCTGATAAATCAATTCCTTCCACTGTTCGACGGTGTGTTCCCTTTCGTCGACGCTGTGATCGTACGGTCCAGGAGCGGGCTACAAAGTGGCGGTACGTTAAGAAAAACAAAAATAAGGTTTGATTGACATTTACACTCACTGCGTTTACTTCTCCTTCGTCATACCACACGTTGATGTACGGATGCAGAAGTGCGTCGTCGACCGATATCCGCCTTTCCGGATCGATCACTAGCATCTTCGAGAGCAAATCCCTGGCCTGACTCGCTTTTAGGCGATTATGCTCGTTACTGTCCGATGGGAAGAGCATATCGGGAAATAACTTGTCAAATGAAAAACCCGGATACCGTGGACGATTCTCGACATAATTCCGAACAGTCGGTTGCAGTCTTAGCATAAATTGTTGCGACGGAGTACCTAACTGCTCTGTAACATAAACAAATTAGCTCGGCTAAAGGAGGGATGGCGAGCGAATACCGATAATTTTATTCCATTGGTCGATGTGATCCGTGCCGGGGAATAAAACACCTCCTCGAATCATTTCGCCCATAATGCAACCCACCGACCATATGTCCACATTTTCTGTATATCCCATGCCTAAAATTACCTCCGGTGCTCTATAATAACGCGTAACAACGTAAGGAGTCATCATAAACGTCGTTCCTGCTGTCCGAGCCAATCCGAAGTCTAATATTTTGAGAGTGCAATCCGATTTAACTACTATATTGCTTGGCTTGAGATCCTATAAGGTACTGTGTAAGAACAAGTAAGTGGGGAAACCACCTACCCTATGGATGATACCGGCCGAATGCAAATGTTTAATTCCACACAGCATCTGATACAACAAGTAACTCATCCGCTCGTGATCCAAGTCCATCTGTATCACCTGGCAAAGATTGGCGTCCATTAATTCCATTACTAAGTACACGTCTTGAAATTCCTCTAACGATTTTTGGGGTGTAAACGCGTTGAGAAGCCCGATTATCTGATTCAAATCAAAGTTAACTTCGGCAAACGAAACAAATACTTACATTTTTGTGATTAACTAATTTCATAAGCTTAAACTCTCTGTAGGCTCTTTTGGCATGCGTAACATTTTGGAAAGGTCGACTTAATTTCTTAATCGCAACGTTCTGTTGCGTTACAGTGTCGACAGCAGCACTAAAAACGATCAATTGTAAATATCAAATCGGCAAAAGGCGTCAGCGAGCAACAAATCAAAGCGCTACGTTTCAAACTGAAAACTTACCAGACTAGACCTTGTGCCCCACCTCCCTTAGGATCCAAATTTGAGTACCGTTCGGGCACACAAAACTCTGTGTCCCCAAAGGGCCATCTTTTAAATCCAGATCTCATTTTTACACAAGAAGAAAATAAATAATACAAAGGATAGGTTTTGTGACAACACCAAAACTTAACTAAAAGTCAAGAAAATCAAATCATTAACGAAAACAAAATCGACCATTCTTCATTTATTTTTCTTTGTAAAATAAAACAAACGGAAAGAGGTGCAAAAACAAATAAATAAAGATGGCCTAAGCACGCATGCACAACCATAGCAAGGCTCATGCGGAGCGATTCGGGGTAACTTACCATACGATTCCTTGAGCCCCAGATCCGATCGGTTTCAGATTTTGGTAACGCTTTAAAATTGTAAATTTTGTATCTCCCACCTCCACGGTGTAGAATTGGTGAGATAGTCGGGACATCTTAAGGCATCTGTCCCGATAATTTACTATTGTTGTCTGTAACAAAAAAAAAATGGGAGTTACAACGTGTCTCTGCACTCGCGCGATTGGATAAAGTGTATTTTTCACGCACGACTTTCGCCAATATTTAATATGGCTACACCAAAAGTGTCTCCACAAGTTTTTGTTGAAATACGCTTGTACAGCTTGTTCGCTTATCGTACACCCTACGTATTAATTTAGATTTCAATGCCTCGGGCGTACGGACGAAATTTACGGATGTATTGGCGGTGATTTGCGTTACATAGGTACATTTTAGGAATCAGATACATTGCCGTAGTCAGAGGCTCCGAGTGAGGGGAGTGTATGCAATAAAAAATGCCGACTTCAATAAAAATTCAAAATATAACACGTACAACATTAAACGACGGCATTTTGACGCTGCCCATTGTGACACTATTTTTTCCAAATGTATACTGCCTGCTATATCTTTTTCTGATTACTTAGAACCAATAAGCCAATTATCCGCCATAGAGGAACGCAAATGATATTTAATTAAACTATATAATTCATACTATACATATAAATACCAAAGTAATAATAATAATTATTATTTTATGATTTGTCATTATACAGAGTGCTCTTTTTTCGCGGCTGTCATGGATATAGATTCTATTTTATTTCTATTTGCACGAAAACCGAGTCGAAGTGGGACATTTAGAAGACTTTTACAGAGGAATTTGATAAATATGGCCAGAATGGCATACAACTTTTTTTGTGCTTTAGGGGCCAAATTTCATCTTATGATCTTTCATCAGAGTTATTTTTCTCTGACGTGCCATAGCTTTTAATTTACTACTTTTACAATTTTCACGACAGTACTTAGGAAATTGCAGTCAAACTCATTTGCTGATTTGATTTGGTAGTTTACATTTATAATCAAAGTAATTAATAAAAATGTCGTTTTAAATGTAGTAAAGCGTTCTTTTGGCAAGATTTTATTATATATTATTATGAAGTTAAAAGTAGTAATCTATCCAAAACCGATTTTTGTCTAAAAGACACTCTAGTGACAATTGAATAATTAAGTGTCATATTTAAAATGTAATATAGAAATCCATAGTAAATTCTTTATTAAAAAATCTAAAAATTCAATGTGACCCTTACGTTCAAAACAAATTCCTCTTATTAGAAAATAATGTCATAGTCTAAACCGCCCATTTCTCAAGTAGATATACTAGTTTTTTTTTAATACAGAATTATTAAAACGCAGAATTCAGTTCTTTTTAATTATTGAAACTAAAAGAGTTATCCCACAAGTGGTTTCAATTATTGATTCACATTTTAAATTTAACTTTATCCCAATTTGACCATTAGTTTTCAACATAAAAGATGAAAGGTAATAGATCTACATATTCGTAATATATTTACGCAATTTTTTTCCAATATTAATTTAATTAATTTAATTTGAATAGCGATTTGCCGAGTGCCGACTAACTGAAGTAGTTTTGCAGACTATGGTCACGCGTTGGGGGGGGGGGGGCCCATAAATCCGGCCCTGCTCACGGTACAGAGCTTAATAAGACTATAACAAAATGGTCTGCAAAGTGTTCGAATGTTCTGAAAAGTACTTAGAATACTCCTAAAAGCGTTTCAGATTCTTTTCAGAGGTAGATAAATAAGTCTAGAAAGCTTTATGAAGTACTGTAACAAGCTCAAAGGGCTTAAGAAAAATCTGGAAAAGTCTCGAAGAAGCCTATGACCTTCAGAACAAATTTTAATAAGCTCTGGAAAGGTGACTGAAGACTTGACAGAGCATTCGGCCACTTTCCAGGGACACTTAAGTCTCCTAACGATCTTAGTAGAGCTAGGCTAGTGTAGATCTACAGAGCGCAAAAATTATACTCCCAAAAGCATCCCAAGGCTTTACTCAAAGACCGTTGCCGAGGACCTTTGGGCCAACTCTCTACTTTCCTTATCAAAGCCTCACCAAAACTTTCTAAGCGCGCTTTCTTCTGGATAGGCAAATCATGCTATAGAAAGTATCGAAGTAGCTTCTTCGGAAGCATCGGAAAGGCGTCCACGCGGTTTCCAAAGTATTAAGCGCCTGAAAAGGAGTTAGAAAGCACTTATAAGACTGGGAAGTAATTCCGAAGATCTTCAAAGCGCCCAGTTAGAATTTTATAGGTAGACCATTTCCAAATCCTGGGTCTCGGAGAGACATAGAATCAACCCTGGAATGAAACTAAAAGGAAGGATTACAATGCCGTGGAAAATGCCTAGTTTTGCAATGACGCAGAAAGGTGGTCTGGTTCTGGAACATACTATCACAGACAAAATACTAAATCTGTGATACTATGGTAAACTATTATCCTTCAAATCCTTTTCCAGGCTTATTCTAGAGTAATCTACCATTTCCAACACTCTTTTTAAGTAGTTTCCAGATCGTTTTAGATCCGCCCAGCCCTGGGAAAGATCATAGAAGTTTTGCAATAAAGGCACTGTTTTAGGTTCTTTCCAGTGTTTTATGCACTTTTCAGATCTTCCTACCTCGAAATGGACTTACAACGCTCTAGAAATACTATGGAATGGGTCTAGTCTAGTCTAGACAGTCGCAATAAAGTGTTAGAAAGCCCATATAAGACCGGAACGCAATTATAAACGTTCCATCCTCCAATGAATTTAGTAGGCAAGCCATTTTTAAATGTTTTCACGCCCCAAAACATCTAAATAATTAACTAGGTCACCTTCTAGACGTCTCCCCGGTATATTCCTTACCTTTGTAAATAATATCAGAAACGATTTCTGAACTCACATCGTTCTAGCAAGCGACAAGAATCGCATGGGAAAGTATCAGAAAGCTCTGGAGAGTACTTAAGAGTCAGATTCTGGAAAAAAATTATACATACAAGATTGAGATGCATTTTATTTTTGATACATGTTTGTTGGGTATATTTTAGGAAAAAAAACAATTTTTCTGCTTAACCATGAATCGTACGCCCTCTAGCGGCCACCTAGAAACATGAAAATAATCTCCAGCGATTTCTCTTGACCGCTTTTGTTAACAAAATCGTTTTCCCCAAGTTAATGGTTCCATAGATAGGGCCTGTGACCTTTATTAATAGAACACTCTATACATTTAGAACATTGAAGTAGCTAACGAACCTGAAGGATTTGATGAAAATTCGGAAGCCGAAGACCCATAAAATGAATAAAATCTGAAAAATTATGGGAATCGCACGCCGCCAAGGAGGCTTCTATTTGATCTTCCTGGTGGGTTATCATTCCTACACTCGCTTAGATCTGGACAAGATCTAAACAGCTCAATGAAAAAGTTTTTAAACGCGACTATAGCAATAGATTTGAACAGTTAATGTGAAGTTATCAATATCTATTCGGCCATAAATATATAAAAATATGCAATAAACTATCTGTCTCTCAATATCAAAAATAAGTTTTTATTAGAAAGTTGATACATTCAAAGCAAGTTGCGGCATTAGGAGTAAGTGCCGATTATCTTTCATAACAAATTAGGGAACATGTTTTTGTTTTTCAGCATCCAAAATGGATTTCTAATAGAAACTGTACAAAGCAAAATTAGATATTCAAGGAAAACTTGCTTCTTTATTATCTTATTATATTCTCGCATATTATTGCATATTAATGGGTAACTTGACATTAAATATGCAAATCTGCAAATTGGTATCAATGAAAAACTGCCGCAGTACTCAAATGCAATAAAATGACCAAATGCTACATATAAACGTGAAACTTATGAATACGAAACAGAATATGCCAAACGTATAAGCTGAAATCCGCTCAAAATTTCATCGCATCTGAACTTAGAAGAGCTTTTGATCGCATCTTAAACTCGATACCGTTAAACGCGAACGTTTTTCATTACGTAACCTCTCAAATATCGAAAATTGAATTGAAGTTTGATATTGATTGCTTTTTCTATTTATGTTTGAAACTGAATTTTTCCCTATACCTTCGCCAGAGTTACGTATAGAGGATAATTAAATGTTTTCACTGGCACCTAAGTCAACTTGTATATTGTCATTTTCTGATTCGTTTCCCTCGAACCAAAGTTTCATCGGCGAAAAGTTCAATTAGGAAAGTAGTGCGACTAGAAAAGCCGAAAGTATAAGAACAAGAAAAGTTATTTAAAATTAAGAGCAAAAATTGACGTCAAAACTTTTCCAAAAGTCAAACGTGGACGGCAATTGTTTTAGGGTGCGTTGTGAGGAGAGGAATAATTGGAACAAAATTGGAAACTATACTGCATTCATTATAAGAAGGTAGTAGATGGCGCGGCGTTTGAAGATAAACACACACAGGAAAAATATAAAACGGCACAAAATTTGAAAAATATAAATATAAATCAAACAATATCACGCTTGGATCTTTGAAATTGACAGCTAATGACAGTTCGATAGTTTGGTTCGTAACTGAAACTTCTAACCGACAGAATTCGTCACTTATTTTATTTTTCAGGGTAATACTGACTCGTGTTTTAACCAATCACAGTGAAGGTCAAACTATCCCTATGCCTTCTACCGCTACCTTCTTAAAATGAATAGAGTATAGTGAATTATAATTTAATCTGCACGCCGTTGTCGAAGGCAAGCACGGTCAGAAATGCGATGAAATTCAAGGGATGATCGCAAGCAAAACCAACCCGAATTACAATCATGTAGTTCAACGTAACCTGAGGTCGTGCAATTGATCCCTAATTGAGATAGGGTTCATTTATCAAGATTAATAACAGCGGAGACGTCGCGTATCAAATAGTCATTGCATGCTTTGAAAGCTGTAGGAATTGAAAAGGGCACTCACTCTAAGTGCTGTAGGACGACTATTATATACAATGAACGGTTTAAAAGGCAGGTGGAAAGGGGGAAAAGGGTGCCTCTGGAAACAAATCTCTACAGAGAAATGTACTCAACAAGCAGCGGATCTGTACCAAGCGAAATACAAAAGCTGTACAAGTATGAACAAAAAAAAAACAGAAAGCGCACTCTTCAGGATCCAAATTTCAACTCGCCATTTTTAACTACACTAAAACTACACAATGAGCTTCATTCGTTTCAGTGCACGAATTATTTAACTTGTAGCCTGCAATCAAATATTAAGGTACCTCTCGAGGTACCTTTACACTATAATACATCTCACATGATTTTTTATATGATATGTTATATGATATTTACTACCAACATATTTTTCGTACGAGTTTTAATGTTTTACTTTACACTTGACAGGTTTATCATATGACTTTAATACAAGAAGTTAAGAAACCTATATAACTTCTCTAAATTAAAATGTTCCAAATTCCAAGATTGGGCTACGCACCAAAATTAATAGAAAAAGTGTTTTCCCGAAAAAATTTGGTGCAGTCGATTTTTGGAAAAAAGGAAGACTGCCTTCTTTTTGTCCCGAAAAAAAAATTGTCTCAGATCGACCCGGAAAAAATTTTTTCTTATAGAAAGGGGCCTGTAGAATCCATAATTTCAAACAGTTGCAAGATTGGGCTACTTGTTCAAAAGTTACAGCCCTTTGAATTTTCTTTCGAAATTGGTTTCTAGTCTATAACTATTGATTGAGAAGTCTGATCGAAAAACTAAGAATTGTTTTGGATTCTACGCACCAAAATTAATAAGAAAAAGTGTTTTCCCAAGAAATTTTGGTGCAGTCGATTTTTGGAAAAAAGGAAGGTTATACACTGCCTTTTTTTGAGGCACGAAAAAAAATTGTCTCAGATCGACCCGGAAAAAAAATTTCCTATAGAAAGGGGCCTGTAGAATCCATAATTTCAAACAGTTCCAAGATTGGGCTACTTGTTCAAAAGTTACAGCCCTTTGAATTTTCATTCGAAATTGCACCACCCTCATCGTCCATTTTATCACTGAAAGCAAGTACATGCATTTTATCACCCTCACTTACATTTAAAAAAATAAGTACTCCACGGCCCTCTGCTGTTTCGGTAATTCGGAGGGGGAATCACAATGACATAGTTGGCGACGCACCGCCTCCAACCCCCTGCGCCCCAGCCCCCCCCCCAACTTTTAAATCTTAAATAGTGACACATGGGGGTCACTACGTAAGACACAGACAAAGAAAAAAAACCAAGTTTTAAAATTATTTACAAAAAATCTAAGCGTATTTTATTTGAGATATTTAAAGGTTGATGAGTGTAAAGTTAAGATCAGGCCCAGTGTAGAGCAATTTAAATTTTTCAAATAGAAATCTATACTTTTTATTGAATATTTTTATTGTACATCGGAAAATAATAAACTTTCGTGGAAAACTTTTTTCCTACAATAACCATTTTTTCAAGACACTCCTCCAAATTCGAGATTTTTGGTTTGAGCCAATTTTTTTGTAAGACATGGTCTCGGACATGGTATAGTCTCTATAAAATGTAAAGGAGATGATGGGAATAGCAGTCAGGGTCAGTCTCGGGTTTTTGAAAATATTTATCCTCTCGTCAGGATAACTGGTTACCTACCATTAACAACAAAACATTAATCATTGCAAGTTTTCTTTGGTACCGGATTAAAAATCTATCTAAGGGTAGTTTTCATAGTTTAATTAGGGTTGGATTTAACCATGCAATAAATAGAAAAGTAGCTTGTTTCCAATAGAGAAAATTTTGAATTTTTAGAAAAAGAAATTACTTACAAGTAACGGCATTCCAGAGTAAAACTGATCCATCTACAATTTGCACTCAAAACACAAACAGACTAGAACGCTACGAAGTGCCGTACCATCCAAGAAGACGGCGCTCCCTCCCGTGAAATATTTTTCCAACAAAAAGTCTTTTGTCAAATTTCGAGCGTTCGACAAAAATTCAACACTCGCAGAAAATCTAAAGTGACCGCATTATTTAATTCTATTCATAAAAAAAAAATCGCCAGACAATTTTCTATTTTTACAACTCGCGAGCATTCCACGCTGTCTGCCCCATCTCCTACCCGACATTCCGAGACAAAATTTTTGCCATTTCCTCCGTACTCACTCTCTCCTCTGGATCGCATTTACGTGTCGACGACGTAATTATCCGTATGAATTATGAAAAGGTGTCACGACATCAAACGCACGTCGAAATTCTGGAGACTTACCAAGAGTGACCCATTTTAAAAGAAGAAGCCGTTGAAGCAGGACGGAGAGAGCGACCAATTAAATCTGAAACAAAAAAAACGGACGTGAAATATTTTTTTGGCGGCAAATCTGACAAGCGAATGCGATTTCAAAGGCTTTTCACATCGAAATTTCAATTAACGCGGAATTGTTTCAAGTTAAAGCGGTAGCAATAATAATAACAACAATATGGTGGTGTTATTGAATAGTCTGCCCTAAAATTTCGTACACGTAACATTTGCAACATATGTCTTTGGCAGTGTTCCAGAAGAGTAACGATTATTTTTAAAGCGTTTTCATTGATAAAGGACCTCCGTTTGTATGACATAACAAATGTAGCTCATCTATTTATCTGCAACATCTTTTTCGCATGTGCCGGAATTAAGCATTCCTAGTCCTACGCTGATTAAATAATGTGACTGAAACTTAACAAAGGCCGTGTATTTGCGATACGGGGAAGACAAAGTCTGAGAAGACCGGACACCAGGGAACTGTTGGTTAGTCGATGACCAGAAGGCACACACAAGAAACGATTGTGGTAGTTTCCTGGTGAGCGCAATTTTTTTCTTGTTTGACCAGTATGTCTCAAAACTACCATCAGAAATATACGAGCAGTGATGCTCCTGGGGCTACATATACAAGGTTCTCCCTTTACCATAAAAGATACCGAACCTTCCTCCTTCAAGTCTTAATCCGATCTTCCTCGCCCTACCTTTTCACTTTCTTCATCACCGACCTTCCCTTCTTGTTCATCTGTCTGCCCGTCCGCCCGTGCATCGATTTTAAGGCGTACAGTATTCTCGGGGACTTCAAGCGCGTTCCTTTGAAGTTGGTGTTATCAAGGATAATTGTAATTGACACATTTTTGATAAATAACGAAGAAAGTGGACAACGGAAAAAGCTAGCTGGTTCGCGACGGTTGGAAAAAAGTGTACGTCTCAATACGCTATATTTTTAATCGGGTAGTTTGCTCCAGGAAGAAAGTTAAGTAAATTTGTTTAAAAATTGGGAGAAGTTTAAAGCGTGTGAACGCACGCCATTGCGCCCAACATTAAGTATTCGGCACCCAATGTGAAGCCACAGCAATATACATAACAAAGTGTCGGAAGAGGGTATTCATAACGAGAGAATTGCTTATCTAGCTAGGAAAGAAAGTGTAAATAAGAAGAAACGACGAAGGCGTCACAAAGTTGAAAGATTCTGCAACATTGGCGGGATAATTACACGAGGTAGTAAAACTGGAAGGAAAATGAAAATTTGTCGAAATCTGGACCCAAAAGGGAAAATCTGAAGCAGGTGGGTCGGAAAAGGGCAACATCTAGCAACAGGGGTTTACAAATATAGGATGTTCATTATAACTTTTGAGGTGTGCAAATATAAGACCCCCCCCCCCCAACTTAATTTAATTCGCAAACGACCGCTCTAAGCAATAATTCCATGAAAGGTAAACTGAACTATGAACGTCAATACGGCTCGCATCTAAATACTCAATTAATTATCCCTTGACGATATTGAAACCGACCCAACTAAGTGCGGGTTTTTCGCAAAAATGGAGAATAAGGGCGTGTATACTGTATAGTGACGAAGGGGACATAAATTGGGTTATTTATTATTCAGTGAGGGAGATTAAATTGTAATTTATGCATTTCAAGGCAAAACTAATAGTTGCAAGTTCTACCCCTTCGGCAGGGCGATACGAATGTACTTGTAAATCCGAGACCATCGCGCGAAATTGTAAAAGTTGCTCAAAAATAGTGGGACAGCGCGCACTCGTGGGGTGAGAAGCTTGTTACGGTGTATTAATGTAACATTGTAGCTTCAATATCCGCAGCTTTAAGCGAAATTTGCGATTGCTTCCCCGATATACAAGATCCTTTATTTATTGAAATAACGCCAGATTTCCGTGCGATAGAATGTTTGTCGTAGGAGGGATGTAGGAAATCTCTTCAATATTTCTTTAGAGGGTTGGTTAAACGAAAACGGTTTATTCGAGATATCTGCATTATTTTAGATGTAATATGGTTCGTGTAGATTTTGGGCGAATTTTTTTATGGAAATTATGGCCCTCTGTGTGAGGGTGTCCATTTACGACACTTTTACAGGGCATCTCCGTAATTGTTAGCGCTATTTTCCCCGAGGTGTATCTTAAGCGAGAGAATATTCTCAAATTTTTATTTTACGATGTTAAGAGCACATAACAGTATATGGAGTCTGGTAAAAAAGTATTTTATAAATAGAACACGCTGTATATTTTAGTCTAAAAAATAGCATAGTAAATTCTTTTTGGAAATAACACTAAAAAAATTCAATATTGATTCAACACCTTTTTTTAATTTATTTAAAATGTTTTTAATCTTTTTCGATTTCTGGATCACTTGTACTGTTTTAGATTAAAATATACAGTGTTCCATTTAAAATACGAGGTTAGATCCGATAACTTTTTTACCTTGCCCTGTATACTCATTTTTAAATTGCAGATTACTCAGAAGCATTCGCAATACACAATTTTCTGTATCTATTTTAAGGGTACTTTATCAAGGCGACGCAAACGTTTTTACAGTTTTATAGCTCCAATTTTTATTAAAAATGGATTCTGTCTTTTAGGATAGATCCTTAATGACTATATGTCTCAAGTTACGTCATGATTTTGAACATGTGTTTGACGTAGTTCGAATAAAAAATTAAAGAAGAAGAGCGACATAAAAAAAATTACTCAATAAGAAAAAAATCCCACGTAACTCGATACAGTTTTTTATTTGCTATTCATTGCTTCTTTTCATTTCAAAATATTTTAAAAAATAAATCCAAAATATTGCAAAAACTGTAAGGATTTTGACGATATTGGGTGTGTCTATTCCTGTGACTTGTAAACTAGAGGGAGGTGCATCTAAGTGAGTTCGACCAATAGCAAACGAAAACTGAGGACAGAAAGATAGGTATTTATTAACAAGCTCCTAGCGAGTTTATAATTTTGCGGTGTCACTATAACTAGATAACGAATGAACCGATTACGATAAAATTTAGTAGATGGATTCTTTATCAAATTTGTAGATCGGAGTTTGTGAATTGGCAATGTAGCCCAAAAAATAAGGAAGGCCCTTTTGACATCTCTGTGTTATGAACCGAATTGCATGAAATTCAATATGCGTATAGCTTTAGCCATATAAAACAGAATTTCAAAAATTGAGCCTAATCGATCAGCATTCACTGTGCCCTTTTCGCATCTCGACCATTTATAAACCGAATTGCAAACTTTTTTATTTATGAAGGATTTAAATGAAATTTGATACATAACCACTTGGAATAAAAGCAAATATAACGCTAGCTTCAAAATTTGATTTTGCGCATGCGCAGTGCCAACTTTCTTATTTATGGAGGGATTTAAATGAAATTTGACACATAGCTACTTGGAATACAAGCAAATTTAACGCCAGTTTCAAAATTTCGTTTTGCGCATGCGCAGTGCTTTCTTATTTTTGGAAACATTCAAATGAAATTTGATACATAGCCACTTGGAATAAAAGCAAATGAATCGCCATTTTCCAAATTTGGCTTTTTTGTTTAAACTGGTGTAAAAAAGCAAAATAAGAATAAATTTAGTAGGTAAGCATTAATCTAGTATGATTTGTCTATACCATTTAGTAACAGCGATAGACAAATACCTATTAATGCAATCTGCGGATTAGAGTTTGCTAACCGCATCATTCTAGTACTCGGGGATTGTTGTAAATACATTGTAACGTTTCATATGAGTAAACCTGAGAGTTTTACCAGGAACATCCGATTACAGTATACCTTGCGTAAATCAAATCAAAAAGTACGTATACACCCGTGTATCTCGTATCGGCTACTTTTGCTTTCGGCTTTTGTGTTAGATTGTGACTGGTATGCAAATGAGGCGCACTTCTAGAAAAGATGGAAGTTCATATCGAAAAAAAAAAGCTATAAGGCTCGTTGTAATTGGTAAGTGACAACTTTATCGAATGGATATGAACTACTATCACCTAAAAGTTAGCCACTAAAGATTGACTTCGCCCTTTTACAACACAGCACTGTCACTAAATTATTAAGAACCAATCCTCAGATTCTTATACTCGTACTTGTCCGTCCGTCCGTCTGTGTGCGCTATAACTCTTTTGAAAGTGGCCGATTGTATTGAAATTGGCGTACAGGTACTTTGGACATTAAGGAAGGACGCTACTGATTTTCAGAAAGCAGGCTCAACTGGAACAAAAGTTATAGGACTTCGAGTGAATCGGCAACAGGAAAAACTGTGCGCTCAAGACGAGGCTCAAAATAATAGAAATCAACATATTTCGTTCCCTAGGTCATGTATCGAGTTCGGACTTTCGCTAGATTAAACAAAGCTCTTTAAATTTTTGCCGCATGTTTAATAATCACCCTGTATAGACCATAGCCAGCTATCAATTAGCGCAAACCTAAAGTTTAGTGGCCCATCAGGGGTCGAGATCTCGGTCGATTTATAAAACGCATTTTCACATAAAACACATTCATAAATTATTGACTTGAATGGGAATGGCTTTCAGCTTTCAGACTAAGCGATCCAGGAATAAACACGATAGTGCGAATCTCACGCGGAAAATCCGAAGGTTCTACGATATTCCGTCGCCAAAATCTCGATCGATTTATATGCGAAGAGGTGGGATGCCTGCGGAGTGCGGCTGCATAATACTCCCCACGCCGCCAACAAAACGGACCGCCCACAATTTAAAAGTTACAAGAAAACGTATAAACCACCTTAACTAAGGAAATATAGTCACTATGAAATTTGTCAATTTTTTCCCCAGTATCTCATTTGACTCATCATTCATCATAGTTTTTGGGAAGATGATCAGATCTCCTTGCACAAAATGTAGCACCAGGGGGTCTGGGGGCATGGAATACCCCTCAGCAAAGGAAGATTAAATGATCGTTTTCAAAAATTCCCA